AGCACTTTCCTCAGGCCTGTCAGCTGCACACAGATGCAATCCACCCCTTCCCCGAACTCCTCAGTATCTGAAGGAAAAGCTAGGAAGCGGAGACACAGAATCCATCTACTATGCGGAAAAGGTAATTTTAAAAAGCAGTTTTAAAAAGCCAGAAGAGAAGTTCCTGCCACATGACTGCATTTGCTCTCCTTTCCTCTCTGTCCAAACCCAAGCTTAAAAGAAGCTGACAACATTCGGGTCTCTGTGGTCACAATGACAGCATCCGTGCCTTATGGTCTTTGGGTCAGAACTTACTGATTGGAGTTGTGGTCCTCAGCTGATAGGCCGGCAAAAGAGAAGCACCCAGACACAAAGGAACCCATTGGAACACAGACAACTGCAAGTCCCTATCCTTTCTAATTTGGGAGCCATGTGACTGGACTTCACACAGCACCGCTGACCCTGGGCAGCCTGAGTGCCTGTAGTTGGACCACAAAGGGAGGAGATGTTACTCTTTGCCCCTTCATTAAAATATTGTGTTAGACACACAGCAGGGCAAGCTGTCTACCGGCTGACAGGCAGCTCCTTGGTAAACGGTCCATCAGTCTGGAGCACCTGACAGAATCATTTCTGTCCAGACTGATTCCAAGACTTTTAAAGAGGCATTTTATCCTTACCAAGAGTGATCCATTTGATATCACAAAGGTACACACTGCTTTAATCAAAGACAAATAGTGAGATAAATACTCAAAAAAAATGTTCTTCCCAACCAGCTATTAGAATAAAATAGATTTGGAATATTTTTTTCTTGGACTTAGGGTAGGGACAGAAGCTGGAAACAACTTGATCTCCCTATGGCACCAAAGCACAGCTAACTCCAGATTGTATCTGAAAGAGGATGTTCCAAAGTGCTCATCGCAACTCCCCCGATTCTCACCTTTCTTTAGAGTAGCAAAGGAACAAAATAACATCAGCACATGCTCAAAAGAAATCACTGTCAAATACTGCCACTGAAACAATCTTTCATGACAAAGTAAAAAAACACATACTAAAATATGAAAGGATTTAAAAATATTTCCAAGCAATACCAAAACAAATATTTTTGCTGTTGCTGTTGTTGAAGGTATTTGGTCCTGTTTAGGATCCATCATGCAATCATTATCAGTCATCCCCTTGATTGAAGAGCTCAATTCAGCACAGGTCCTAACAGCATGGGCTCTGGAGGCTTACTGCTTGGGTTCAGGTGCTGGGTGTGCCTCTTACCATTTGTGCAACCTTGAGCAAGTTATTTAACCTCTCTGTGCTTTAATTTGTCTGAAAAATGAGAACAGTAATAGCTTCATTCTTTCTTCCAGCTTATTAAGAGACTTAAAACACCACAGATTTACCAAATAAATAAAACCTGTGGGCCTCAGGTTTTATATAAAAGCACAATTAGAGACTAGGCTAAAGTAATCTGAGAATATTTTCTACTAGCTAACAACTAATACTGTATACATTAACATCAATTCAGATGGGCCTAATTTCCTTAAGTATTCTACTAAATATCAAAGGGCATTATTGGGGGATATTCAGTCTGATTGTCCCTTCTTCAACCCTTCCTCAGAGTTCACTTTAGCCCATGTGGTCAGACCTCAGCCTAGGACCCAGGATTACCGGAGACCCATGAACAGAAATGGAGCACCCAGCATGTCAGCTTGTTGTATTGATCACCTTTCTTTTGTAAGTATTGTACTTATTAATAAAATTGGATGATATTCTTTTCCTTGAGTTCGAGCTGACCCTCAGGACTTGGCTGAGGGCAATCAATTATACTGACTACTGTGCAGTCAGCAATCTAGGCTGGATTTCCTCAGCAGGCACAATACCTCCAAGCCTACTTCCTTACCTCTGCAGAGGGATGTTTTAAAAGGCTGCTCATTGATTGCTTTAAAATCTTATGGAAACAGGTTTATTAATGACTTGTTAAGTTTTCCCTCAAACTCAACAACATGCCTCGGCCACCATCAAAAACAACCACCAGTGCTGGGGGTGTAGCTCAGTGGTAGAGGCGTGCTAGGTTTGATCCTCAGCACCACATAAAAATAAAGACACTGTGTCCATCTACAACTAAAAATAAAAAAATACACCAACCACCACCAGCGCTCCAATTAAAACTTAGTTTCTTGAAAAGAGACCAACCCCAGTTTCTATTTCTGAAGACACATGGCATGAACAGAGCAGATGGAAAGAAACAGTAATGACATTAAAGACCAGGCACCGAGAGCAGCGAAAGAACCAGGTCTAGGCACCAGGTGACTTGAACTTGTGCAAAGGCTCCATCAGTAGAGAGTCATGTGACTTTGGGTAACTTTTCCCAACAAAATGGGACACAGATTCTTTATCATAGAACAAAGTCAAGGGGGAATGCGGGTAGGAATGAGATGGGACATCATTACCCTAGGTACATGTATGACTGCACAAATGGTGTGACCCTACTTCGTGTACAACCAGAGAAGTGAAAACTGTGCTCCATTTATGTAAAATGAATCGAAGAGCATTCTGCTGTCATGTATAACTGGTTAGAACTCATAAATTTAAAAAATAAAAAAGATAAAAAACCCAAGGTCATCTAAGACCCTTTCAAACTGTACTTCCTCAGCCCACAATACTAACACAATTCTTCTGATATTGCAACTTCTCCAAAACACCTAAGAAATGGGGGGGGGGGGTTAAAGAAAAATACGAGACCTTTTTAGTTCCTTTAAAACTTTTTAGGATCATTCTGTCACACACACACACACACACACACACACACACACTTTTAACCTTAACATAAACATACACCTCAAAATAAAACTTCCTTCACCTACAACCACTTACTATCTTATGTCAACTCAAATGATACAAAATGAGGAGCCCCGTCAAGCTGCTCTGTCCACGTGGCTGCAGCCCTGGTGGACCAGGGCAATGACCGCCAGCCAGGAGACCTGGAGGACAAGGGCCAGGGCTGATGAGAAGCAGGCTGGCTGGCCTCTGAGGTACATCTCCCACAGTGTTAGAATTTGGACTTTTATCACTGGCGAGGTATCACGGCCTGATGATGCAGGTGACACAGCTGAAACTTCATCTCCAGACAGCCTGAAGAATTTAGGCCACTAAATCTTAGGCTAAAATACTATGACCTACTCCAGGATGCTAAGGATTTGACTCTGTCCGTGCTAATGCCCCGCACCCAGGCTGCCCAGACCATGGCCGCTTCCTGTTCTCCGTGGCTGTCCTCCAGTTCCCTCCTGTTCAGACACTACTCGCCTCATACCTTCATGGACACACCTTCCCTGTGGATTCTGCAGTAAACCTCTCTGCCCAGACCACCTCCAGTTCCTGACCTGGTTTTGATCAGATGTAAACAGCTTCCATTCACCCTAGAAAGTCGGGTTGGAACTGAGAGGAAATTATCTACATGCCTGTCACACAGCACTCTGTCACAATTTAGTCACCAGGGATGATGAGGAAGCAAAGGACTAACTTGTCACCCTCCCCTGGGGAACATCCCCTCTCAAGGGTGCCTCCAGTTAGAATCCCCCACTCTCTGACACACTCCCTTTTCAAGGATTCCCCACCTTGGGACACCCTCCCCTCTGGGACCCTCAAGGAAACCCTCAGAGTTCATTCCCCTGGGGGACCCTCAGAGAAACGCTGTTTTGAGGGACACACCTTGGGGACACCCTCCACTCGGAGGTATAGGAAGTTTACACTTGGACTTAACAGATGCCCAATTCAGAGTCAAACATTTCCTCAAGCCCCTACTTATACCAGGCGCTGTGCTAGGTGCTCATCTATGTCAACCCTTTCAATCTCATGGTCACACCATACACAGGGTATCAGACCCCATTTTGCAGATAAATAAATCAGCCTTCAGAAAGAATAAGTGGCTTGTCCAAGTAATTCAGACCCGAGTCTTGGGCTTCTGAGACCTTCTTTTCATTCTCTGTGACCCACAACCAACACCCACAACCAATTTCACAGGAGAATGCGGAACTACAATGTTACAATGTACCAGCCTTGAATTTGCTCATCCAATAAAACACAAACCTATAAAATAGTTACAGAAAATGCCAACACAGGGTCAATTGTTCCAAAAGAGATTTGCTGAATACCTGTAGTACGCATACTGACTTTTTTTTTTAAGCACTGATTTTCTTATATAGCTTTATCCCTATTTAACCTTCCTTCCCTCCACCACCACCTAAACACACAATACACACAGGGAAAAAAAAAAAAAACATCAAAACTAAATTCATAAAATGTATAAGGTTTAGTGTTCTCTGACCACTGATGGAGATGCTAAATGAGAGGCAGATGACCTGAAAGTGATGGTTAAGAAAAAAATGAAATGCTAGATAATCCACAGCTGCAGAAGGAATCCCTAAATGACAGGGGATGGTGCACGTAACCGAGATAATCTGTCATTTTACCACCCAGATAGATAGTAGAAAGAGAAAATAAGTATTTACAGACTTGCCAAGAATCACCTTTATCAAGCATCCGTATCAGATCCTCCCCTCCATCTCGGGAACAGGTAGACAGCCAGACAGAACAGGATCTTGGGGAATAAAAGGCTAAAAGAGTCTGGTGACCATCAAACCCAAATCCCTAGACATACAATCAAGGAATCTCTGGACTAACCCAATGACCTGCTCCATGTCACCAAGAAATGCTGGTGCAGAATATAGCTCTTTTGTCACAGTAGAGGCCACTGTCAAGCCTCCTGGCCATCCACAAGCACTTGCTAGTATCTATACAAGGTAATCCAGGGAATACCACAGAAGAGAAGGCACACAGCTGGCCAATTTGGCAAACCACGAAGGTGGACTGTGCCAGACCTTAAAACCCAAATTACTTTTTACTCACATCATTTGCTTATATCCAGTGAAACTGGCCCAAATGATTTTGAAATATAGTAGTCCACATTCCTATTTCCCAAAGAAAGAACTCTACAAACACAGCCACCACAAAATGAGCGACAGTGGGTCTGGTACCTTCCCCAGAAGGCCATCTCCAGGGGGCCTTTCATGTACATGGAGTCGCTGGCATCATTCAGCCCGTTGGTGATCCCGCCAGAGTAGCCCAGGACGATCCCGCCATCTGCTGAGACACTCAGGACATCCTGGTGTCCTCCCGCTGAGGTCCTCTCCAAGAACTGACCCCCTTCTTTAATGCGCTGCTGGATCATTGGTGTAAGGGGCATCTCAAAGCTGAAGTAGCTATCTGGCTCCGAGTAGAGTGTCTCCAGCGACTCTGCACTGTAGTACAAAGAAGTGTTGTCCAAGATGGTCTCAAACTGGGAGCTGTACACGTCAGTGGAGTCCTCGGTGTACCCTGGCCCAAGCAGTTCATCATCTTCGCCCCTGAGGTGCTCCTCCTGCTCCAGGATTCTAGAATGAAAATAAGAGTAAAGAATTTCAATACTAGGTGATTGTGGGGGGGTTGCACTGCTGGGGACTGAACTCAGCGGCACTCGACCACTGAACCACATCCCCAGCCCTATTCTGTATTTTATTTAGACACAGGGTCTCATTGAGTTGCTTCGCACCTCACTTTTGCTGAGGCTGGCTTTAAACTCACGATCCTTCTGCCTTAGCATCCCAAGCCTCTGGGAGGATTACAGGCATATGCCAGCATTCTTGGCAGGTTAATTTTTTTTTTTCTCCTTCAACCTAAAAAAACATGATGTTCTTCTGTAAGTATAGCTCATATTCACTGAACTTGTGTGTTAACCACATTTAGGTTTTTTTAAGTTTTTGGAGGTTCTGGGGATTTAACCCAGGAATGTTCCACCAATGAGCTACATCCCACGCCCTTTTTATTTTTTTTTATTTTGAGACAGGGACTTGCTAAGTTGCCCAGGCTGGTCTAGAACTTGCAATTCTCCTGCTTCAGCCTCCCAAATCACTGGGATTACACGTATGTGCCACCACGACTGGCTTAACATATTTAGGAAAGAAGATACGAAACACATTTGGGTTTAAAAAAAAAAAAATTAGCCCACATGTGACTACACTGTAAATAATTTAATAAAGTTTCAAACCAGTTTCTTAATGTATGAATGCATCTGGTCCAATGAATATTTGCATAAAATATTAAATTCTCAGCTATGCTCCAAAAATTCTGACCATATACAACTACCATCATTTTTAATTATGATAGAAGCAGATAAACATACCATGCAAACTTGATACAGTAAATTTTCTGAAAAATATACACTAAACTGAAAGGGAAGGTACTGGGGAATAAGACAGATCGAATTGTTATGTACATGTACGAATATGGCATAAGGAATCCCTCTTTTAGGTATAATTTTAATGCAACAATAAAAATAATTTTCTAAAAATACACTAAACTTTCATCAGTTATTAATACTTTCTGATTTAAATAAAAACAAATGTCCTGGAAAGGATGACTTGAGCAGAATCCAAGGGGCTGCCCTCTGCTGACAACAAAGCCACATTGCAGAGAGCACAGGTCCAAAACTGCCCCACCATGAATGACCTCAGGGACATAGTAACTTCAGGGCCACCCAAAGAGGCTAGCACCAACTTACAGCTGATAAACTGGGTGGGACACTGATTTTGACAGACAAATATGAAAAATACACAACATGTTTTTCAAATATTAAAAATGAAGGTCAGTATTACTAAATGAAGTTTAAAACTTGGTGAGGTGGATCAGTAGCAAAAGCAGGAGGTTGAGCCAGAAAAAGGGCTGAGTTATATACAGCTCCATGGCAGAACTTTTACCTAGCAAGCGTGAGGCCCTGGATTGATCTCCATCATGCGGGGGTGTGGGGGGGAAGACAAGAAAAACCTGGGGCTTAATTCTGGCTATGCCAATTACTACTATGTCACTTTTTATGCAACTTTACTGAACCTCTCTGAGCCTCCAATTCCTATATATAGGAATAATAAGTAGAAATAGGAATTATCTATTAAGTATCTCATAAATAATCCATAGTTCTGGTTATTACCAGAAGACAACAATGCAGTTGTGCATGTTGTGTTTTAAGTTGTGGAAGGTCCACCATGTACCAAATTCTATTCTGGGCTTATATCTCGTAAGGTCTTCCCACTGACCTTGGAATAAGAGACAGAGTTCTATGCAGATGCTCCTTCCCACAGCCTGGCTAACTCTTATTCATTCCTCAAATCTCAGCTTAATGACCATTTCCAAAAAAGGGCCTTAGCCAAGCCATCAACTGAATGAGCCTCTCCCCATCCACCCAAATTATTCTGACGTGTCTTTGTTGTTTTCCTTCATAGTACCTAGCACGATTTGTGATCCCATGCTAATTAATGTGTTTACAGGAAAAGTGTTTTTCCTCAGTGGTCAATTCCATGAGAACAGTGACCACAGACTCTATTAATTTTCAACATTCCTTTATGCCCAGCATCTCACAGGGTCAAGGACAGTAAACAGTGGGGAAATATTTGTGAAAAGAATGGAAGGAAAGAGAAGAAAGAATGAATTAATAATCTGAACATAAATACACATTCTGACAGGAATATAAATACTAAGCCATATGCCACGTATCGAGGCTGGTTTGAGGAAGCCCTGGAGATTTTACATGCTAGGGATGGGAGAGGATCCTAATGGTCTTCCCAAAGGAGCACAGGTCTCAGCAGATGTGTTAACTGCAAAGGAAAAGACATCTCCTTGTATAGAACAAACACAAAACTCAAATCACAAAGAACACTTCCCGCTTGACAGAGATGTGCTCCTACATAAGCTCTAACACAGGTGTCAGAGGGCTAACAGGGTCGAGGGTGCACATTCCAGTGCAGTTCACAGCAAACAACTCTACCCAAAGGCACACAGGTGGTCAATGGGTCCTGGTTTCCATTCATCCAAGCATAGAGCTGGTACGGATCTCAGAAATGTAGACCAGGATGAATATCATGCAATACCAAGTTTAGACACCAGGGCCACAAATCAAAACACATACTACTTGTGAGAAGAAGGGAGTCCCATGTGAGTTCCACAAACAAATGAATTACAGAGTCTTCTTTCTGCCCTTTTGAAATGTGTTCTCTAAACACGGAAAACTCCAATCCAGAACTTCTGGGTTCACATCTGAAAGCAGGCTGCATTGTAACTGGTGTGCACTACACTGCAGCCGTTGGGATTTGTACCCAAGAAATGGCTGAGTTAAGATACAGTGACTACATGAGATACAACAAAAGAGTCTAAATCTTTTCACACTGTTTCAAACAACTATGGAGTGCTTTAGTTACCTTGATGCTGAAAAACTCAAAACCTGATGAATACAATACAATATCAGTGAAATGGAGTTGCAAAACTAAGGGTTCAACTAAGAGTTCAATGGTCTCTTCTGAAAGTTTGCCTGGTCCATGCCTAATGGACCTTGTTACAAGATCACCTTAATGTCCTATAAACTTGGAATCTAAGAAGGGCCTAGCTTAGGACACCTTCTCTTTCATTCTATGATGAGGAGGATCCAGAGTACCACAGTCCCCCCTTATCTGCAGGGGACACATTATTCCAAGACACTCAGCAAATGCCAGAAACCAAGAATAATATTCAAATTCCAAGAATACTGTGTTTTTTCCTAAACATGCATACCTATGATAAAATTTAATCAATAAATTTAAGCACAGTGAGAAACTAACAATCATAAAATAAAAGAAATTATACCAATATACTATAATGAAAGTTATTTAAAACTTGGGAATCGCTTATTTCTGGAATTCCCCATTTAATATTTTCAAACCTCAGAAAGTGACACTTGCGGTAAGGGGGAACTGCGGTACTGTAAGTTGAGTTCTGTCAAGCACAGGACGATGGCTTTCTCTAACCAGGCATCACAGACAGCAAGGTGACTCTGGGAGCTCACCTTCCCTTGTCTCTCTCCAGCTCAGCTCTCTTCTCAAGATGTTGTCTGTTTTCCTTGAGGAAGACTTCATCCTCGCCACTCTCAGCAAGAGGCACCGGGGAAAATCTCCCTGAGCTAGCGCCAGGCCTCTCCGAGGGGATTTTCCAGGTTTCATCCCAAACACGCTCAGTTACACCAGCTGAATGGCAGGGAGCAGCAGCTGAGATGAGATGGCTTGGCACTTTGGAAAACTCTTTGCTTACAGGAGAGGCTGTCCTTGCCGGCGATGTCTCAAAATCAGCAGGAGCCTGTGTCTCTCTCTTCCCTCCTTCTGTCCACAGTATTTCCACCCCTTGAAATTCCACATGCTTGATCCGGCCTGCACGTCCCAGGGAGCCTCGATCACATCCCCCTGGGTGCTCTCTCCTAGCATCAGAAATCTGCTCTTTTGAAAAGCCAACGCTGCCTGCAGAGTTATCGGTTACTGCTGGGCTCCGCAGGGAGGACACGGGATAAGCTGGCTCGGACGCACAGAGAGCCCCTTTTCTCCCAGTAGTAGTTACCCGGGGAAGCTCAGCCTGGGTCTCTCCTGTTAATAGTGCAAGTGCAGTCAGATCTTTCTGGATGCTCAAATAAACATTTTCCTCAGTCGTTCCTTCAGCTGGAAGAGGTGTATCTGGTGATGGTTCCTGGCCCGCAGAGAATGGCTTGGAGGCTCTCTGTGTTTTATGACTGGCAGTGTCCAGCTCTTTTTCCACATGCTGAAATGAAAAACTAGAAACAGCATCTTTGTCCAGTACCTTTGTAGCATGTAATGTTCCTGAAACTATTCTGGCTTCTGTGTCTTTCAGAGCAGAAATCAGAGAGTCAATGGATTGTAAACTTTGTTCCTTGAGGTGACTTTGAGAGGGGGCTTCAATGACATCTTTTGGTCCTTCCGAAATACTGTTGAGCCCAGAGCCTTGGCCAGCAAGAAGATGGACCCCCCGTGGCCCTGGCGGGTGGCATGGCAGAGACTCTGCATCAAACTCCAAAGAAGTTCTCAGGCCTTCTCCGCCTTCTTCCATGGTCCCATATTCTGGAAATTCATTTGTGACATTCGGTGGGAGTAAAGTGCTTCCTCCATGATCACCTGTGAATACAACAGAAGAGAAACAAGACTTATTTCTGGATACCAGGCTCCAGTATGTGTTCATCGGTATCCAACATTAGCACTCGACAATACTTAGGTATCTGATTCTTGCACTGCGCCTCTTTCCAACACCCTGTGGCTCTCATACTTTATAGCCACCCCTGCTAGCATACATGCATGTCACAGCACAGGAAGCAATCCAATGACACATGCCATACTTAACCCTGCTTCTGATAAGAGTCCCATGCATTAGCATGCAGTAACTCTGCTACTTCATGGGCAAAAACAGATTTAAATGAATAAGTCTCATCTTCCAATACCACTGGGAAGACAGCAACATAAAATACTTATGTTGGTCATAATCAAACAGCCTTATGAATGTGCAGGACAAGCTCTGAGACCAAACCTCAGAGGAAAGACACTATAAAAAGTCAGTATATTTTCTAGCCAGAAGTCTCTGCATTCCACTATGCAACTTCAGTGGGAAAGAAAATGCTTTCAAAATATCCCTGAAGAAAGAGAGTGCAGCCAACATGGAATAGGAAACGGAAAGTTGAAAAGACATCTAGGATCCCCAAAGCCCAGACTTATAGTTCAATTTTTTAATTGATAAATGAAAGTTATATGTATTTATGGTGTCCAACATGATATTCTGATAAGTGTATACACTGTGAAATGGCTAAATCAAACCAATATATATATCCATTAACTTTATATCTTTTTTGTATGTGGTGAAAACATGTAAAATCAAGTCTTAGCAACTTTCAAGTGTGCAACACCTTGTTTAAAACTTCCTGGTTAACAATAGATCTCCTGGATTTATTCCCTGCACCTGAAAATGTACATTTTTTAACCACTATCTTCTCAATGCCACCCCCTCCCTCTCCCATTAACCACTATTCTACCCTCTACTTCTATGAGTTTGACTTTTTAATAATATTCCACATGAGATCACCAACTGCGTACAATTTCAATATTATCTTATGCAGAACTGCAACATATGAAGCAGAGAAAACAATATTTAATTAGGCTACATTTATTATAATGAATCAAATTTACATTTTCCTATTAAAACGACAAGTCAGCGAGAACTGAAAATGGGAACACTGACACATAAAATACTTAAATTGGGGGTTTACAGATAACAGTTACAGTCTTTTCAGCCTCTCCTGAACTGGGTTTTGGTGACTCTGTATCTACACTAGAAATACAATATACTCACTTCTACTTTACGAAGGAGGACATCTGTTGCTGTTAAACCACAACAGAGTTACAACCTTCTTAGTTATTGAAATACTTCATATATGTACAAATAAATACACTGAAATGGCATGAGAGTCTTAATTTAAGTCATTAACAAAACAAGGTAACTTGAAAACATGACTTAATACGTGGTACCCTCCACGTGTTAAAATTTGATAAATGGTAACAACACACCTGAGGGTATATGTTGTTTCATATGCCATTTTCTTAAGTAATTTGAAATGTAATTTTTAAAGCTAAATTGGAATCAAGTGTTGATGGAATCTAAGAAGCACTTCAGCATGTCACCAGACAGAACCAACAGCTATGGCATGCTGAAATTTTTGAAAAGGAAGCAAATTCTCCAACAATTAATTTGAAAATGAAGACATGTAAAAACAATAGATGGTAGCATATTAGCATTTATTTTTTCAGTGCCAAATATATTATTAGTACCTCTAATTTTCCCCCTCTTAAGATCCAGTGGGTTTTGGTATATTCACAAAATTATGTTAAGTATTACCACTATCGTCACAGAACATTTTCAATATCCCTAAAAAAAACTTCCAAATCCATTAGCAATCCCTCCCCATCTCACAACTCCTCAGTCCCTACTAAGTACCAATCTGCTGTCCATCTTGACGGCTTGTGTATTTTGGATACTACATATATAATATACAAGTCAAATAATAAGTGCCATTTTGGGTCCAGTTTCTTTCACTTAGCTCAATGTTTTCAAGGGTTATTCATATTGTAGCATGTATCAGAATTCCATTCCTTTTTACCACCAAATAATATTGCATTATATGTAAATACAACATTTTCTTTATCTACTTATCAATGGATGGCTATTTGGGCTGTTTCCATGTTCTGGCTACTATGAATAATAAATTTGTATATGAGTTTCTGCATCTAAATATAACTTCAATTCTCTTAAGGGAATTTCTAGGTCATTTGGTAAATCTATGTTTAATGTTTTCAGGAAGTGCCAAATAGTTTCCCAAAGCAACTGCTCTATTTTATATTCCTACAGCATGTCTGAGGGTTCCATTATTGCGCAGGTTAGAGGGTATAAAGTAGCATTTCTCTGTGGTTTTGATTTGCATTTCCCCCAGGGACTAATGATATTGAACATCTTATCATGTGCTTACTGGCATTTTTGTGTAGCTTCTTTACAGATGTGTCTACTAGGATCCTTTGCCCATTTTATAATTGGTTTATTTGTCTTATTGTTTAGTTGTAAGGGTTCTTTATATGTTCTGACAGAGGTTCTTTATCAGATATATACTTAGGAAATACCTCCCATTCTGTGCTTTGTCTTTTCACTTAATTGATGTCTTTTGAAGCACAAAAAACTTTTAATTTTGATTAACCCAACCTTACCTAGTATTCTTTTGTTGTTTATGCTCTTGATGTCACATGTAACAAATCACTGTCTAATCCAAAGATACAAAGACTTACTCCTGTTTTCCTTTAAGAATTTTACAGTGTTAGCTATTACATTTAGATCTTCGATCTATGTTCTAGTTAATTTTTGTATATGATGTGAAATAGAGATTCAACTTTATTCTGTCACATGTAGATATCCTGATGTCTGGCACTATCTGTTGAAAAGGCATTCTCTTCTCGTACTGACTTGCCATGATACCCTTGTAGAAAAATCACTTGTTAATAAACGTAAAGGTTTTTGGGGTCACTCAATTATACTGCACTGAGCTAGATATCTATCTCTACACTGCGTCTCTCCGTCTCGATTACTGTAGCTCCAAGTAAAATTTGGAAGTAACAGTCCTATAACTTTGTTCTTCCTTAGTCCGGTGATGATGGCCACTCTAGGCCCCTCATACATTCTGCATGTATTTTAGGATCAGCTTATCAGGCAGCTGAGATTCTGAAAGGCACTGTAATCAATCTATAGAGTTCTGGATTCTTAGCCATATTCTTACTGTATCTTTAGATCCATGATCAAGGACTGTCTTTCCATTTATTTATTCTTCTTTCTTTCAACAGTGTCTTGAAGTTTTAAATTAAAAGTTTTGGATTACTTTCATTAAATTTATTCCCCTAGGCATTTTATTCTTTTTGATACTACTAACAGGGAAGTTATTTTTTTTTTACTTTCATTTCCAGATCATTCATTTCTAGCATAAAGAAATAAAATCTATTTCACTGATATGTTGGCCACAAACCCTGCACCTTGATGAACTTGTGTTTTAGGTCTAATAGTGTTTTCATAGATTCCTTAAGATTATCTACATACAAGATCATGCCACCTATGAACAGAGGTGGCTTGATTTCTTCCTTTCTGACTCCAATCTATCTTTCTTATATATTTCTCTCAGCTCTCCTCTCAAATATCCTGTACCATTGCTTCCAAAGTGAAGGAGGGGTGCCGCACACATACCTTCGAGAGGTTCTCTTTAATTCTAATATATACTGGAAATAAAACTGCCCACTTGGACACTCTCTACTTTCTAATCCTCTGACTTGCTCAACCTCTTTTTCCCACCTGACATACTTCTTCCCATCTCAGCACGATCAGTTTTTTTTACCCCACTTTCCAAGGCCTAATTCCAATTCCCTCTCCTTAACCGGGCCTTCCCTCAACTTGAGAGATATCACCTTTCCTCCTTAAAAATGGCAAGAGCCTTTAGCTGTGTGTTATGTACAGTACAAATACGTGAAACCAATGAACACAGTCAGCTCACATCTGAAAGCTTCAAAAGACTACAACTTCTAACCCATCGTGAAGCGTTTAGAGAAAAACAACCACAGTGACCACCAAAGCCATGTACATACATAACCCCAAAGCACACCGCAGCGAGATTCATTCAACGAAGGGAAGAAAGGTTAAGCCTCATCATGAGGGAATCCACTGTGTGGACTGGTTTAAACTGTCATCTACAACAGCAATGAAAATAAACACTGGCCCAGAGAAAAGCAAACAAAAGGAAATTAAAGACAAGAGAGACCTCAAAGAAACTAACTAATTCTTGTGCCCCGTATTTTAAGACTCTTTTACTGAGATGCCTCTTTCTCAGGGACGGCAAGTGCATCCACTGTGGGCAAATGCTTGTGCTCTTTGACATAACAGTTTGACAACTTGTCAAACCAAGAGATCAGACAAAAGGGAGGGGCCAAGGCAAGGCCCTGCAGGACACCCTGCTGGCTTCCCATCTTATTGCTCCTCTGGTCTAAGTTCACTGCTCTTTGAAGTTGTCGTCTTTTGAAGTGCTAAGGAGTTTCATTTATTTTATCAACTAGTTGAGGACCAGCACAGACAGACCAGGGGAAACAAATGCTCCGAGAGCCTCAATGACCTGACCAAGTCGAGTACAATGCTGTTCAACACAGTATTATATCAGAACTAAGGGTCAGGAATCATTCCTGGTCTCCCGTCTCTCAGCAATAAATTCATGGGAAAAACTTGGTGCTGCTGAGTTGTAAGACCACCATTTCCAACAGCAGCAGCAGCAGCAGCAGCAAACACGATACACAAAGTCTTCCAGCGGCTGCTTCAGTGTAGAAGCAGTCTTCATGGTCATTCTCCCTCGGTTGGAGCACATGTCACAGGATACAGAGCAACAGCAACCTTCTCCACCAAGCACAGCACCCCATCACACGCAAGAGCAGTTTATTTTTGCTGTTTGCATCTCTTGTCACCACTTGAACTATATTAAACGACAAATAAAATCTGCGAAATATCAATCCCAACCCTTTACTTAGAATTTCTGATTTGCTCCTCAGAAGTCGTTCCT